TAATTTATAGTTTCATTAACTATGAGCTGCATTATTTGATTCCACACTTTTAAAGATAAAAATCTTAGCACACCTACCCTGTTTAGCTTTCTTCTTCAAAATTTTACTACCCTTTTGTTATCCAAACTTGTCGTCTTGCATTGTCCATATTGATGACACCATGATGTCTTTTATGCTTTCTCTATGGGTTGATTCTAAAAGTTGAAAATTAGTGATCTAGGATCTTGGAAAAATACCTTATTTTAGCTACAAACACAAATGACAGTTTAGCTGGGTATAGAGGTATAAGTTGAAGGTAAGTTTCCTTCAGAATATTGAAGGCTTTGTTTCATTGTCCTCTGGTGGCCAGGGTTTCTACTGAGAAGTCTAGTCATTCTGATTGTCACCTCTGTACCTTTCTCTGTGGAAGCCTTTGGGAAAATCTTATCCCTGGAAATTTCACAGTATAAAAAATCTTCATTCACTAGACTGAAAAGTCTGAGGGCCCTGTCAGCCAAGAGACTCATGTTCTTCAGTGTAGGGAAATATTATTTTATTCCTGACAATTTTCTCTGTTATTTGGTCTTCCAAAACTCCTGCTAATCAGGTATTGGACTTCCTGTATTGTTTTTGACATATGTATTTTTTACATGTTTTCTCTCTTTGTCTTTTATCTTTTGGTAGATATTTTCACAATTTATCTTTCTACTATTATATATTATTTTTATATTTATATGTTATGTCTAATATAAATTATGTTTATATTAAATGGAACTTAAATACATATATAATTTCAGTTTTCTTTTTCAAGGAAGCTTTCCATTTTTATTATATCCTATTAATGTATAATGGATTAAATATTTTCAAATCTCTCTGAGCACTATATGTGTGTGTGTATATATATATACACACACACATTTATACAACAGTTTTTGAAGTTGTCTTCTCTTTCCTGAGTTGTTATTTCCTCCAGGATCATTTTTTATCCTTTCTGTTTATCCTGATCTATACTTTCATATTGAATATTTTCGTCAATGTCAAGTAACCTTTGTTTGTTTACATTTAAGAATTACTCTTATTTAGACCCTTGTTAAAAAAGTTCACTTTAAAAATGGAGACAATCAGGGAAGTTCCAACACTGATTGGGCATTTGATGGTATTAAGGAATAAATATTAATTTTTTAGGATGATGTCTCAGTCCATTTTGTGTTGCTATAAGAGAATACCCAAAGCTAGGTGATTTATGAAGAAGGAGGTTTATTTAGCTCATAGTTCTGCACGCGGGGACGTGTCAGAAGCAGGGCGCTGGCACCTGTGCAGCTTCTGGCAAGGTGTTGACTGCTTCCACCTGCAGCAGGAAGTGAAGGGCCAGGGCGTGTGCAGAGATCACATGGTGGGAGAGGAAGCTGGAGAGAGAAACCGAGGAGGCCAGACTTTAATGGCCCAGCCTCTTGGGAGCTAATCCATTCCTGAGAGAGCAAGAATGAGAACTCACTCGCCCAGCGTGGGTGTGAACCTACCCCCAGCGTGGGTCTGCCCCCAAGTCCCAGACACCTGCTTCAGGCCCCACCTCCCAACATTGGGGCTCAAATTTCAGTGTGAGTTTTGGCTGGGACAAATCATATCCAAACCGTAGCAGGTCATAATGGGTACTGTGGTTATGTTTGTTAAAAGTTGTGTTTTAGAGATGCATGTTGAAGTCTTTAAAGTGGAATGATGTAATATCTGAGCTTTGCTTCAATCCCATGTGTATGTGAGAGGGTAGAAGCGAGACGAAATAGGATCAGCCTGTTTTGACGATTGCTGAGATTGGGTGATGGGCATTTATTATATTATTCTCTCCGGTTTTGTATAGGTGTGAAAATGTCCGTAATAAACAGTAAGATAAGGTGCAACAACAGGAACCTCACCTGAGGCTCCTGCACTTGGGGGACTCTGGGCTTCCTGTGCTTCTGGGTGGTTCCTCTCACCTCTGCGTTCTGCCCTGTTTCTGCCCTGTGAGGCTCTGGAGGGCAGGCTGTGCCCCTCCAGGATCCGGGAGAACCTACTTCTGCAGTCTCTGGGCTGTGGCTTACTTTGCCTGTCAAATTCCACGCTTCAATTCGTTGTCTGTTTTCCAGAAATCTTTTGAAATCTCCGATGGCATTTCTCCCATTCTCTTCATTGTTGTAGATTTGTATGTGCATATATTTTAATTTTACTATCATTTTAGAGGTCTCCAGAGGGAGAAGAGAAAATATGTACCATCCATCTGCCATCTCTTTTTGAGAAGTTCCATAAAGATATATTTAAACAACCGCATAAGATCGCACTGAACAATCCCAGAGTACTTATCGACTTCCTGGTTGGGCATTTGGGGTTTGTGAGAACCAGCCTGTGCACTCAGGGCGGGGGACATAGTGAGGGACAGGCAGGTCCCTGGGAAGACCGTGCCCAGCACTCTGCTTCACAGACTGCCACGCTGAGTTGGGGGCGAGCGGGTAGGGTTGTTCGCTCATCAAGCTGTGCCTCCTCGGGGAGTGGGCGTCCCGCTGGGGGGACAGGGCATGTGTAGGGCATCGCTGTGACTGTGGCCCATCCCCATTGCCCACTGACTTGGTGGTGCTGGCTGGGCCTGCTCTGGCCTGTGCAGAGCCTTCATGCATGTCTGCTGTCCATGGGATGGGTGTCAGCTGGTGTTTGCCAGGGACTCCCACCCCATACCCTCAATTTTAACAGGTCCAGGAGACAGTTGTGTGCTTGCCAGAAGGTTCTTGGAGCAGGGGGAGTATTACAAACAGCCAAGTCAGCAGGAAGTCAGAGTGTGCCCTGGGGCCTCAGACTCCTCCCCAGCCTCCTCTCCCTCAGTGTGAGCTGGTGGTCACCTCCCCCACCTGGATGGTACACCTGGCTGGGTGACTGTAAATGGCCAACATTTAGGAATCATTGGGTTAAAAATTTGGAATAAGGCTGGGAGGCTGAGGGAGGAGGAACCCTTGAGTCCAGAAGTTGGAGGCCAGCCTGAGCATCACAGTGAGATGGGACTTGTTTGGGGCAGCACCATCCAATCCCTGCACCTGGCTCAGGGTCACAGCCGCCCGAGGCTTAGTCCCTACGTGGGGAGTTGCTGAGCTGAGAGCAGGGGCTTGGCAGCTGGGCGTGTAGCTCACTTGTATGCTAAACCTGGGGCTGGGTGTTGCCTGGGGTGGCCCTGGGGTGGGTCAGGGGACACAGACAGCTATAGGAGTGACAAAGAAGTAGGTTGTGTGGTTTGTTTGAAGGTGTGAAGTGCTGAGGAGTAAAATAGGATAGGGGAAGGGCTGAGGGTGCCTGGGCAGGTGTCTGAGTGTCCTGCAGCTGCCATTAGAAGTCGCCCTAAACCGGGGGACCTAAAGCAGCAGGACTCATTCCTTCAAGGCTCTGGAGGCCAGAAGTCTGAGGCCACAGCGTTTTGCTTAAAATCTCAGTTTTCAAGAACCTATCAAAGTTAAGTGAGGACTTACTGTAGTGTTAAACTTTTGATTAGCTTTATTTTCCTTATTTTTTTTTAAGATAAGAAATAAGCTTTTATGAGAAAAAGTAAAATGTGAGCAATGGTGCCTAGAACATGACCTGCAGCTACTATTTGTAGAATGAATACATGAGTGAACAATTATTAATTTGTTTTGGGGTGGTGGTGGCTATCTTGATTTTCTTTTTTCTATAGATGCTCTGTGGAAAAACACCCCTGCTTCCATTTGAATTGCAGAGTCCCCTCTGGGGCCTTTAAAAAATATCTTCTTTGTATTTAGGAGAGCAAACCCCTAGGGGACAGCATGACCTAGAAGTCATTTACACTGTAGTGTGAATTAGGTTGGCTTCTGGTTCCCCCAGGATTCTGGGAAGCTTGAAACAAGACTGCTGTTTGGTGCAGTGGGAGGGGGGATGCTTTGGAAGGTGGGGAAGCGGTCTGGAAGGCTAGGTCAGTGGGAATTAAAGCGTTTGGGTTTTTGAGGCCCTGGGTCCTTTGGAGGAAAGAGAAGTGTGGGAGGAGGTGGAGGGGTGGGTGGAGACTAAGGACACACTGCCCTCACCTGGTGTTTCTGACCCGGCGACTTCTGGGCAAAACCGAGTGTGACTGTCGCATGAATGGATTCAGGAGACACAGGTGTCCAAGCAGGGTCCTGTGGGGGCGGCCCCTCCAGGGTGGGTAGTCCGAGGCCTCGCCCTAAGCGCATGGGGGGACAGGAGTGTCCCCACTCCACTGGTGCCTCTCCCTCTAGTAACCCAGGGGTGGGGAGGTTGCTTCTGGGGGCACAGGAGAGCGGGGGGCTGGTGAGGCAGGGCAGGGAGACTCACTTCTCACCTACACCTCTTGGTGCTTTTGGAATTTCATACCTGCCACATGTATAAATGATTTTCGAAAAGCAATTAAATAATGAAAAAAGAGGGAGGAAAGCAAGAGCTTTGTTTCCCTGTCATGCACCCACCAGATAGTTCCTGAATGTCCAACGTGAGCCGGGCACTGGCTACGGGGTCAGCAGGGCTCCCCATGGGGCAAACGGGCTGGTGAGGCTCAGAGGCTCGACGGTGGCCCCAGATCCCGCAGGGTTGAGACCAGGCCCCCAGACCTGGAGGTGCATCTCAGCATGTGAATGAACAGACAGCAGGTGGAGTGAGGGCGCTGTGGTCAGCAGGGCCGTACGGCTGGGGGGAGGTGAACTTGGAGATGCCCTTGAAGAAGGGGCCAGGACCTGGCCTGGGGTGGGCCTGAGTGCCCAGAGCCCAGGGAGCTGCAGGGGTGGGGTGCGAGGCGGGGCTGACCATGGGCACACAGGGTGGAAGGAAGGCCTTCGAGTCCAGGAGTGTCAGAGGGGAGCCATGGAAGGTGCTTGAGGGAGGGAGGGGCTCAGGCAGGGTGACGGTATAAGGCGCTTGGGCTCCTCACCTTGTCCAGGAGAGCCCTGGAGACCTCACTTCCCAGCCGCTGTGCCGGGGGGTGGGGAGGGTTCCCTGACAGCCACTTTCTTAACTTTCTTTCCCTGTTTTCTTCTCCTGCACAGGAAGAAAGCAGACAGATTTTGGCCCAGCAGAAGTCAAACTCGCAGTCCGACTCCCACGACGAGGAGGTTTCGCCCACCCCTCCGAACCCTGTGGTGAAGGCCCGGCGCCGGCGCGGGGGCGTGAGTGCCGAGGTGTACACAGAGGAGGACGCGGCCTCCTACGTCAGGAAGGTGAGGCCCGAGGCGGCGCCCCAGTCCCCTGTGCACGGCTGTCAGCACGAGGGACTGGACTCATTGTCGTTGTCTCTGCTACATGAGCTGAGCGCGTATTTGTGGGAGGGGCTGTGGGGGGGTCTCTGCCATCCCACAGCCACCTTAGGGCTCTCACCTGCTCAGGAGGTGAGGGGCTCTCCAGGGGTGTGGGACGTCGGCTGGGTGCTGTGTGGCTCCGTTTCTCCTGCAACTCTCCGGCCTCTTCCCATGAAGCCATGTGTCCCAGGAGGCCAGGGCCCCACCCTCACGGCCTCATCTAAACCAGGCCTGTCTCTGAGTATCAGCGTGTTGGTGGCTGGGCTTCCACACGTGGGTTTCGGGGGTGACGCAGTTCAGTCCATAGAACTGTCCCAGCTGCTTTACGTGTGCGGTTCCGTGGGGTGAAGCGCATTCACGTTGCCGTGCCACCGTCACCACCATCCATGCATGGACTTCCCACCTCGCGGGACTGAAGCTGCACACCCGGGAAGCAGGGCTCTCTGTTCCCTGCCCTGGTGTTTAGTACGGTTATAATCAGACCAGTGACACCCATTGTCGCCTCTGTGGTCTTCCTCCCAAGCCCAGAGCCCCAGTCTGACCACCAGGAGAACCCCAGACGAACCCACGGAGGGACAGCGTGTGGAGTCCCCGACCAGCGCTCCCTGCAGTGGCCAAGGCTGCCACACACAGGGGCGGCCGAGGGGCCGTCAGACCAGCGGGGACGAGGGAGACGTGCTGACCGGTACCCGGATGGGACGCTGGGGCAGAGAAAGGCCTTTGGCTAGCGCTGCGGAAATGCGAATGACGTGTGGGTTCCGCTGCCGGCCCGAGTCGGCCTCGGCCCCTCCGTGGTGACAAACGCAGAGTGACGTAGGGCGTTCCCGCGGGAGCCCGCAGGGGGATCGGGTGCTGTCTTTGCAACTTCTCTGTAAATAGAAACAAAACGCTTACTTTATACAGATCTGCTAGAACTAGAGCAGACCCAATGCGGTCCCTCAAAGGGACGTCTCCACAAAGGGCCCTCTGGCCTAGAACACAAGGCTGGACACGGGCTCCCTGGGCAGCCTGAGCTCCACAGGGGTCACGCTGTGGCCCAGATACCCTCCCTCCGTGTCTTCGTTCGCAGGGAGGGGTCCTGGCGTCTGCGATGCTCCTAATTTGAGGCGCGAGTGCTTTTCATTCACTCGGCGATTGCACACATTGGTCCAAAGCTCCCACGAGGCAGGTCCTGAACCGTCCGCATTGAGAGAGGCGTGGGACGGCGTGTAGGGTCCTGCTCATGCTCCTGGTCGCAGTGGCCCAAGCCCCTACCCAAGCCCGACCCCATCTCTCCTCTCTCCACCCTGAATGGGTGAACATTGCCCTGGGTGTAGCCCCAGACGTGGTCCAGTTGTTTAGTGCATATGTGGTTTTCAAATATTTAAACTAATGTTTTTTACCTTAAAAAAACCCCAGCAGAATAAATCAATAACAGTCAGTCATCCAAGGCACTGCACATCTTCCAGGCTCTTCTAGGAGGCTCTAAAGCCTGGCAGAGCCAGTCAACACAGACCCCAAATTCTAGGCTAGGCGCCCTCAAACTACGGCCCGTGGGCCACATGCAGGTGTTTTTGCCCATTTGTTTTTTTTTTACTTCAAAATAAGATATGTGCAGTGTGCATAGGAATTTGTTCATAGTTTTTTTAAAACTATAGTCCAGCCCTCCAATGGTCTGAGGAACAGTGAATTGGCCCCCTGTTTAAAAAGTTTGAGGACCCCTGTCTAGGTGGTACCTAAGTTTCCTCTCTGGCCACTCCAGGTTCCTCACCTTTTATTTATTTTTAAAAAAGTAGTGGTGAATGGAGTAATTTCAGCTTTAAAGAAGAAGGAAATCCTGTCATCTTGGATAATGTGGACGAACTTGCAGGTCACTGTGCTCAGTGAAACACGCCAGGCACAGAAAGACGCCTCGTGATCTCAGTTCTGGTAGAATCTGAAAATGTTGACTTCACAGAACAGAGAGTGGAATGGTGTCTGCCAGGGCGGGGCTGGGGGCAGGGAGGGAACAAGAGATGCCCATCACAGGGCACAGGTGTCAGAGACAGGAGGGCTGAGTTTTGAGACCTGTTGCGTGGCAGGGTCTACGCAGTCAATGACGGTGTGCTGGGAACCCTTACGCAGCGTATGGGGATGCAGGCTGGCTGTGCGGCATTGCCCCATGAGGTTATAACGCAGCGTTTTTACGGCACCTCTTTATGCTTCACTTTGCGTAGATGCATAAATGCTCACCTAGTGTTACAGCTGCTCACGGCATCCAGCACAGTAACAAGCTGCACGGGCATGTAGCCTGGGAGCAGCGGGCTGGAACACACAGCCCGGGCGTGCAGCGGGCCATGCCATCTGGGTCCGTGCAAGTCATTCTATGATGCTTGCACAACACTGAAATCGCTTAGCGATGCATTTCTCAGGACATAACCCTGTCGTTAAGCAACGCATGACTGTATTTCAAAATAACGAAGATAGTAAATTTGAAATCATACCACATCATATACATGTAGCAAAACATCACATTGTACCCCATGAATGTATATGATTATGATTTGTCAATTAAAAATAATATCAATGTAAAAATTGGGGTGAACACACACAACATAAACCTTCCAGTTGTGTTTTGACCATCACCTGGTAACAGCACCAGGTTGAGGCTAGAGGCTGAATAGTCTGATTTCAGGCCATGCCACAGCGTCTCAGGGTCAGGCAGGTGCCTGGGATTGTGGGCTCAGTGCTGGCCCCACTTTGCACCCTCTGGGGTGCTCCTGGCCTGACCCCTCTCTGCCTTCCCTGCAGGTGATTCCCAAGGACTATAAGACCATGACTGCGCTGGCCAAAGCCATCTCCAAGAACGTGCTCTTCGCTCACCTCGACGACAACGAGAGAAGGTAGCTGCCGGGCTGAGGGAGGCTTTGTGGGTTCACTGAGTCACGGGCCATGAATCATGGGGGTGCTCACGGGAGATGCGTGTCACAGCTTTGCGGAAGCGTGGCTCACAGAGCAGGGGCGGCTTCCAGAAATACCGTGCTGTGTGCAACTGGTCCTGCTTCAGGGAGGCGTCCCCTGCTAAACCTCCTAGACAGGCTCGTGGGTCTGATTGCCGTGGGCTTGGTGCTACTGCGTTTTCCCCCACTCGGGGACTTGCCCGCTCTCACTGAGTGTGGCAGACAGGGTTCAGACCCACAGGCCCCACTGCTCCTGCCTGTCCCGGGGGCGTGGAGCCCACCCACGTCATAGGTGGTGGCCACTGTGGTCTTTGGGGTCTCAGTGAGCTGATGGATTCCAGGGAGATTCCAGGGAGAGGGAGGACCTGTGAGTTGTGAAGGGCTTGAATGCCTTTTGTGGGAATGTTGTTCATATACATAATTGGAAAAATGAGAAAATTTTGGTAAGACAAGAATAGGAAACGTCCCCTGTCATCTGACTCCTAGAAATAATCCAATAGAATGTTTTGGGGCAGTCTGTAGGGATTGACTTTTGCACATGTTCTAACTCTGTATCTTCACAGAGTGGGGTCTCCGTCTACGTGCTGTTTTGTCACACTCAGGATGTGCCGAGCATCTGTCTTTGTCCGTGCAGATGTGTCGTGGATTGTCCCGTTGGTTTCTGCAGAGTTGCTGTGATCTGGCTGCTTCTGTGCTGTGTATTCTCTGGGCTGTGTATTCTCTGTCCTCAACATTTCCCGGCTGTCCTTGTATGCTCACCCTTGGGAATTCATCCATTTCTTTCTTTTAAGATAAATTCCTTGGTGTGGATGAAAGGGTGTATAACATTTAAAAATTCTCTTGCTTTAAAAAAATTTTTTTTTATCAAATTATAACTGTCTATTAGATTAATTGAGCACATTTTGGTCCCAGTCCTACCCAAAATCTAAAGACCTACAAATATACAAAACAGAAGGAGAAAGTGTCTTTATCTGGCTGCACAGGCTACCGTGGGAGAGATCTGGGTGACGCACCCCAGCGGGGCACCCAGATGTGCTGTCGTGTGTCGCGCTGTGTCCCCAACAGTGTGCCCCCGAAGTCCTTCCGTATGAGCAGGAATCTCAGTGGTGCATGGTGTTCCGTTGTGAGGATGAATCAGAGTCTGATAACCTCTCTGCCTGCCAGGGTCACGTAGGAGGCTTCTAATTTCTCACGTTACAATGTTTCCACGAGTAGTAAAGCTCGCCTTTGCCCTCCCCGCAGCAGCGCTGGTGCTGGAGCACGCGTCCGAAACGTCCGCTGGGCTCTCGCCCCAGAGGGCGGGGGGGGGGAGCAGCCCAAAGATGTTGTGCACAGTGGCCTTGGCTCCTGACCACGCACGTCCACGTGGAAAACCCCCACCTCGCCCAGAGCACGCGGCCAGTTCAGGCCGGACTCTCTGGGTCCAGGGTGCCCAGCGAGCACGTGCTGCTCCCCTGGTGGAGCAGCTGCTGGAGTAGCTGGGTGTGGCTGGAGCAGCTGGGAGCCCAGCTGTGCCCAAGCACCTTGCTGGGTCTGTGGCCGCCAGGACCCCAGGCTGGCGTGGCCCTTGAGATGCTCGCCCTGCAGAGGCACTTGGGCGGGACCGAGACACGTGGGGTTCTGTCTGGGCCGGCAGGCAGCCCACACTCCCAGCTTCCCTCTTGCACCCACACGCGCTGAAGAATCCGCGTGTGCTGCATGTGCGTGGCATTTCTCATCCTGGAGCCCACTCTCCCTTTCAGCTGGGGTGACTTTCCCCAAGCTCTGAAGACACTGGGTATTATTATCTTATTTTACATTCAAGGAAAAACGGTGTCACTTCTCTGAGTGCTTGTAAGGCTCTTCATAAGTTTCTGAGCAAGGCAGTGGCCTGAAATATTCTGCTCAGGGAGAAGGATTTGGCCTCAGAATTAAAATATACTTTTCAGCCAAGTCCACCCCAAATGAGATGCCAGTGGTTAGTGCCCATCTTGGAAGGTATCCAGGCACTAGCGAGGGGTGGTAGGCCCCCCAAAGATACCCACGACCTAATCCTGGGGACCTGGACATGTCACCTTGTATGGCACAAAAGGACTTTGCAGATGTGATTAAGGTGAGGATCTTGAAGTGGGCAGGTGACCCTGGATTTCCCAGGAGGGCCCTAAATGCCACCACGTGTCTCCTTGTAAGGGGGAGGCAGAAGGAGGTTTGAATAGACAGAAGAAGAAGAGGCCGTGGGACCACAAAGGCAGACTGGAGTGCTGAGGCCACTGGCCAACGAACCTGGCAGCCACTGGAAGGCAGAAGAGATGGGCAATGACCCTCCCCTAGAGCCTCAGGGAGCACAGCCCTCCCCACACCCCACTTACACCTGCTAACGCTGATTCTGGACTTCTGGGCTCCGGAACTGTCAAGCAAATCAGCTGCTATTGTTTTAGGCCCTGCTGTGCTCGGTCACAGCAGCCCAGGGACAGCAGGCATCTACCTGGTGTCCCTGCAGAGAGGCAATGCTCGATCACCAGGTGGAACTAGGTGACTGGAGAGTTGTGTCCAGTTTAACTCGAACTTAAACATCAGTTTTCAATGTAATCTAATGGGTGGTGCATTCACATGGTGCCAGGGGGCCAGAGTGAAAGAGTCATCTGCAGTCACCTCTGGACCCCTGCATCTCTGGGCTTGGCCTTCCTGGACACCTCTGCAGTCCCCTTCTGTAGACAGACCCTCCCTGCCCATAGGCAGGGGCCACACCAACTAGCTGCCCATTCTTAATGCAGTTTCAAGTCCTCAGGGAAGGGCAGTGACTGACTGGGCCTGGGTCCAGGTCCAGGTGGGCCCAGCCAACTCTTGTGCCAACTAGAAGGACAAAGCACTGTGGCCTGTGGCTGGATTTCAGCTGTGCCCAACGTGCATGACTACAGGTGTCAGGTCCTGGCCCATCATCTGTGCTGGGAGGCGGCCACAAACCAAGGCACCTTGGATATGGGGGAGTTCCTGGGTGCGGCTGGTTGTGACCCCACCAGTCAGCCACTCTGCCTGGAAGACTGATTTCTGTGCTCTGGGCCTCAGTTTCCCTGTCTGCCCCAGCAGGAGGCCAGCCTGTGCTCAGCCCCTCCAGGAGGGCTGCAGGCCTGGGACTTTGGTGCAGGGGGCACATTATTATTTTTATTTATAGTAACAGTGATGATGATCCAAAGTTAACTTCTTCTTGCTCAAATAGTCCCATGTGCAAGAACAGTGCAGTGGGTTGAGCACATCTTAGTGCCTGAACTCAAATGCGACTCAACAGAATTCAAGACAACAAATGCTAATGGAGCATGGCTGTGCCGGGTTCCTGCCCGCGTGTGGCTGCTTTCTAGGGGAGGAGCCAGCCACCCCCCAAGTAAGCACATAAATAGAGAGTGTGCTGTGGAGGACATCGAGAGAGGCCTGTGTGTCATAAAATGGGATGACTTTGCTCAGCGTGGGCATAAACGTGACATTTGGGGTGAGCCTAAAGGTGGCAGCAGCAAGGCCCTTCCAGGCCAGAGCGCAGCAGGGCAGAGGCCCTGTGAGGGGGAGGGTTTAGTGAACTCCCGGCAGCGACAGCTTCATTCAGTCCAGCAAGGACCGTGTGCACCTGCTGTGTACGGGGCGCTGGGGTCATGGGGAACAAAACTTAGCTTGGAGTGGGGCCAGAGAACTGGAAATCTCAGAATTATTCTGGGATTCAAACACCTGTCTTCAAATTTCCAAGGGTTCTGGTTCCTCTTTGTGTTTTACATTTATTTTATTAAAAAAATTTTTTTTTTTCAGTTTTGGAGTATCTGAAGATCTGGTGACCCTTTAGATCTCTCTGTCTGGCTGGTTCCCCTTGAAGCAGCCACAGTGGGAGGCAAAGCTCGGGACCCGGGAGTGTCCCGAGGTTTTCCCACCATAGGTTCCCCCTGCGTGAGCTTCTCCCATTACCCCACCCACTGGACGTCTGGCTCCGTTCTGTCATTTGATAGGCCAGGGGTGGCTGAGAGCGGGGCATCAGGGCATCCCAGGTTAGGGGGGCAAGGACGTGCTGCAGAAACTGCAGCTCTGGCGTCCGTTGGCTCAGGCCGAGCCCCTGCCGCGGCGTCCTTATAGCATCCACGGTGCTACAGCAGCTCGGAGGCCCAGGGTGTCTCAACATGGGGCCACAGGAGGCTGGGGCTGGTCACTGCCTCAACCCAGAAGCGTCTCACGTCACACGAGCTCTCACTGGGACGGGTCGCTTGGCCTGGCCTGGCTGCAAGGACACTGGCAACCGGGACCCTGGAGTCATTTCCGGGCGCTGTAGGAAGAATGTGGAGTGGGGTTTCGTGAACTCCAGATACTTTCTCGTTCCCGACATCTCTCCTCCGTCCCCAAGTGCAGCGTTTCCTACAAACCCCTGACGAGTGACGCGCGGCCCTGCCTCGGCAGCCCCTGTTGCCATCGTGGCAGATACACGTCACATAAAACTCGCTATTTTAACCATGCAATTCAGTGGCATTTATTATATTCACAATGTCATGCGACCGTCACCACTATCTCCAAAATTTTTCATCACCCAAACAGAAACCCTGCACATATTAAGCAGTCACTCCCCGTGTCCCCCAGGAGCCCCTGAGAACCCCCAGCCTGCTTTTTGTGTCTATGGGTTCGCCTAGTCTAGGCATTTCACGTAAGTGGAATCACACAGCATGTGACCTTTTGTGATGGGCCTCTTTCACTGAGCGTGTTTCCGAGGATCATCCGTGTTGTAGCATGTGTCAGCGCATAGCTCCCTTTTTAAGGCCGAGTAGTATTCCATGCGAGGTCACACTCCATTTGTGCATCCACTGTCTGTCGATGCACACGCGGGTTGTTCCCACTTTGCAGTTGCTATGCAACTGGGTGTACAAATGTCCTGTCTTCTGGGTGGGTGCCTGTGAGTGTCATTGCTGGGTCACATGGTACCGCCACGTTTAACTTTTTGA